TGTAACATACTGAGAAACAAAATGTTTAATATTTGCCAAAACTGTCACAATGTGGACAAGATAAGAATATATCCTACAAAAAGCTTACATTCAAGAAATAATAAATGTATATGTGTGTTCTTTTTCATCTGCTTTGGGAATTTTGATTTTGATAGTGACTCTGGCAAAAGAAAAAAAATAATAAACAAGTGGGTATAGTGGATCCAACTAGTGAAGTACAATTATTTCAAAATTGAAAGTTAAAATTACATTTCAAAATATGGTTGTATGGGCCAGCCCCATAACCTAGTGGTTAAAGAAATCAGGACTGTGATTTGAATCCCAGCCCTGACGACTTAAAGAACATGCTGAGTGTGTGGTTCACATGCAAGCTACAAATTCTGACATGGTACAGAAATGGAAGAGGAAGGAAGGTAACGGGACCACTTGGGGGAGTGACTGCTCCCTCTCCATCTCCCTCTGTCTCTTTGTCTGGCAGTTTAATAAAAATACATGTAGCTGTAATAAAGGTATGATGTTGCATTCTAGTATATGTATTATGGCATATTAATTCAGATTATGAATACAGTTATTCACAAAATTTCTTTAGATAAGTAACAGAATCACTATAAAATCACTGAGTTTACTGGGCCCAGCAACTGGCTTGGTGTTTAATGCACTGGATTCCCACACGGCTGACTGTGGTTCAAGTCCCAGACTCAGCAGCTTAAAAATCATGCTGTGTGAGACCAGCAGTTGGCATAATGGCTATGTCGCTGGACTCCCATGTAGTCAACCATGGTTTGAGTACCAGACCCGGTGGCTTAAACTCACGCCAGGTGTATGTGCATGCATGCCCAAGATCCCAAGAAGAGAAAAGAGGAGAAGGGATTGAGGCATGGCCATCCCTCCAGGGGTGATTTCTCGCTTTCTGTCTCTCTGTCTCTCTGTCTCTATCTTTTTGGTGAGTGCACGCTCCCTATAGCAAAAATCTCTCTCTCAAAAAAAAAAAATCATACTGTGTGCAAGTGTGTTTGCCCAAAATCCAGAGTGGAGAATGGAGAAGGGATTGTGGTTGGCTATACACCCTGGATGGTGATTTCTCATGTTTGCTCTTTCTCTCTCTGTCTCTCTCTGGTGAGTACACACACCCAATGACAAAAACAAACAAACAAACAAACAAAAAACCAACAACATTGAGTTTGGTAAATAAAGTTTAGAGAAGGTGTGTTGGAGAATGATTGGAATCCAGGATGATTGCACTCCTTATATTATAGAGGCATTGTAGAGAAAAGGGCTCTTTGGATTGAAGAATGAAAGAAATTACTAAATATCAACTTTTCTAAGAAATAATTAGATCAAAAGAAATCAATCAGTAAAATGACATTAAGAAAAACACACTAGCTATACTTATGAGAGCTTTAGAATTAGAATCTTGAGTCTGGGGTGAAATCAATTATTTTCTAATGATAAATTTTGGGCTTTGGGGCAAGTAATAAAACTGACAGACACATAAAGGGTTTAGAAAGTTAAATGACATCTGTGCCATGCAAGCAGTACGTAGTAAATTAACATGTTTTCAGTGCATTGGAATGATGCTGAGTGGAAAGAAAGAATTAGATTTAATCCATCCGTTCATTCAATCTTTTATTCTACCAATACTTATTAGAAGACTCCTTGGATTGGGTATTATGTTTTGTTAGATGGTAGTTACATACTGGGGATCAAATCCCTTATTCTCCAGCGTTTTTGGTGTATTGCTGAAAGACATTGTTTAAATACCCTAACAATGAACTAGTCTCTCAGTGCAGAATAGTCGGATGTCATAACATAGGTAGTACGGACATTGAACAAAGATTTACAGTGAGATTTAGGAGGCAGACATCTGTTACCACCTCGCTGTCATCACCCAATTTCTTATTCTTAAGTCGAGGATATTAATATTTGCCACCTCCCTAGCATCACTCTTTGAGGTAACTGAGATTACTTTGTTGAATATTTGTGGGTATCATTAGGAGAGCAAGGGTATATAAATACAAGTCTTATTCCATTACTCACTCCAGCATGTCCCATGGAATTTATTTTTGCAATTATGATTCAAAGTGGTAGGATATAGGTATTTGAATCACTAGACAAATCTTCAATGCAATTTTTTTTCTGTGTGGTATATTTAATACAACGTTTTATTAAGGACTTTGAAAATTTGTCTCCCAAAGGGTTTAGGTTAAATAGCCTGGATTAGAAAACTGAAATTTTATAATAACAGCTGAAATTCAAGCTTTCCACTTTATTCCACTAACATCTCACAGGGGATTCCAGAGCCGTAGATGACTTTACATAACATGAATTCAATACTCATCTGCATTATGCAGGTGCACACTTTAGAATGGAGCCCAAGAAATTCATGTCTGAGCCCTTATTTCTAGAACTCTGGTCATGACTCTTTTTTTTTTTGGTTTAAGTTTTAAACAACAAAATATCATTAATGAAAAATTGGATAATGGTTATAATCATTTAGAATTTTGAGTATCATCTTTCAGAATGGAGAAAATTTATATATTTTTAAATGGCTTAATGGGAACATATATAATGAAGTATGGAACTCCTTATGCAGGGCCTGGGACAGAGCCACCTAGGCAAACAAATGAACATTTCTGCAGCAAAGCAATAAATATTCATAAACTTGGATAAATAGAGACTTTAAATCACTTCACATCAGTTAATTTCCACTTCTTTTGCCAAGTGAGCTTTAAGCCAAATTTTTATTTTTCAGAACTATTTGGATTTGTGAATGCAAGATTTTAGATCTGCATTAACAAAATACGACTAAGCTATAGTCAATACACAAACGCAGCATGTCCTGGCATTTAAGAAGCAAAGCTTAGTGGCACCAATGCCAGGGTTCGAATCATTTAGCAAGGTGTTTAATTTCTACGTCTCCTCGGCTTTTTTACCTTCAAAAGGAGGATAATAATAGAACTTATTTTGTAGGAAGTTATAAAGTATAATGTATTAATATTAACAAAATGATAAAATTCTTAGATTAATTCCTGGTAACTAATCTGTGTTATTGAATGCTGTTATGTAATGTCATTGCCTTCATTTAAATTTAGGATCAGAAAATAATCATACAGCAAGTTAAATTTAGGTCTCTTTGAAAACAAAGCATGTGGCTAGTTTAACACTGTGAACACATTCACCTACTAGATATTCAGTTAGTAGGCTTTTTTTTTTTTTTTCCTTTCTTCTCATATATCTCTGTTGGGAGAATGGACAAAAGGGTTGATGGAGAACTGTTCATAGCAATCTGCAGTATTGCCAGCAGAAGTTTAGATAAACAAGAGGTTTTACTTCTGAACAAAAAGAGCATCCTAAGAATGGGGTTATCATTCTCATTTAGGAAAACGTCGATGAATGATCCCTCTGGAAACAGACTTCTTCAAGGACAAAGATAATGACATTTTAAGAAAACAAAATTTCATCAATCCTGTGACATAGAGACAGAAAGCGAGAAATCATCCCCCAGGGGGGATGGTCACGCCGCAATCCTTTCGCCTTCATTCTCCTCTCGGAATCTTGGGCATGCACGCACATGCGCTCGGCGTGAGTTCTAAGCCACCGGGTCCGGGACGTGAACCGTGATCGACTACATGGGAATCGAGCGACATAGCCATTACGCTAACTGCTGGTTCCCAATTTTCTACTTTCTTATAATAAACTTTTAACAACAAAACCTGTGACTGGAGAAATAAAAAAAAAAAATACTACTTAGGCTGTAATTGTGCAACTCCTTGCACACTGTGACTTGCATTGGATTTTTTGTAACACTCTCCTACATTATTCTACATAAATGAGATTTTGAGAAACCTAGCAATACTTAGAAACTTAACTCCATTTCTCTAACTGAGTTCTTTGTACAGGTAGTTTGTTTAAAAAGTTTTGGTAATCATTAGCTAGATATATTGAAAGACAAAACAATGCCTTCCAAAGCCACGTGCCTGACAATATAATATGCCTGACACTTATTGTCTTAAATTTTTCAACAATTCTTAATCTTCCCAAGAGGGGTAGTATTTAATTTTTTCCTTTTATTCATAACGGAGCACGTGTGTATGCACATGAAGGAGAAGGAGAAGAGGGAGCACCCTACACAGGATCTGGTTAAGCTGAGATCTTCTTCCTCCATGCCCACCATGACAGATCCTTGGCACTTATGAGCATGCCCTGTGTGTTTCAGACTGACCAGGCCAAGGATTTGAACCCCAGTTGTCCTGGGGGATCCAGCTTCTTTTGAGCAGCACATTACTACTATGCATGAACGCAGTCCTTCCTTGGCATCACTTGGTAGGAAGGTTGCTAAAGGGATGAAATATGTTCCCCTATCAATTCTGAGCAAGAACAGACAGAGGTCTTTGGGAGACTTTATGCTCTACCAGGGTAAAAAATTATGAAAGCACTTAAAAGATGAAAGTAGGAGAAGGAAGATGATTTCATTTGCTTTCGGGGAAGACCTTCTAAAAATAATCTTTCTTGCAAAAATTTGTTTTATTTACTTAACCTCTGAGACATCATAAATACAATTTTTATATACTTGAAATTCTTAGTTTTTCTCTCGTGGGCAATCTCAACTGACTTAACCTGATACTCTGGAGGTTTCTATAACATATTACTAACTCCTGTATGAAACCTTCTGTGTAGCTGGTACTTGATACACACTAGTAATCACTTTACAAATTTTGCTTTTTAAAAACATTTTTGGATAGCCTTTCCATTTAGGATCCAGGAATGTGTATAAAACCACAGAGGTTGTATGGCTTTTGAACTGAAGGCTGTTGGTTTGTGGAATTTCCTTTGACTGGAAACACATATGAGTCTGTGGTTTCAGTGTTTTCCCAGTTTTATACTGTCCTGCTTGTTTGTTTTAATTTTCAAGCTGGAGAATTTACCATTAATTTCCATATTTTATAAAGAACTAACATTTTTCCCTTATGTCCTTTTTATTTATTTTTTTTATTTTGCAGTTGAAAGAGACAAGGACTTTTCTCACCAGCGAAGGCATTATAAAGAATTTCGGTTTGATCTTACTCAAATTCCTCATGGAGAAGCAGTGACAGCAGCCGAATTCCGGATTTATAAGGACCGGAGTAACAATCGATTCGAAAATGAAACAATTAAGATCAGCATATATCAGATCATCAAGGAATACACAAATAGGTATCAACTTTATATCTAACTTACTACTCTGCTAAAAAAAAGTTAACAATCTTAACATTTGTTTAAAAGAAAAGTCATTGATAACCCATGGGACCTATCAAATCACGCATAGCCACATTCAGGGCCAGGTAGAGACACATTGAAGAGTAAGAATAATTGATCTGGAAAATTTCTTTTGCATTCCATAGGTTTTCCCTACTCCTGACACCAATGAGGGAACTAAGTAGCCTTGTGCTTGCCCATATGTGCCTTCTTGGCCTTTTGTCTCATTTTGTAAATTTGTCCTTTATCCAGAATATATTCATTTTATTGTACTCACATGGCATTAATAATTAAGATGATTTAAATCACTAGGTGTTCTTTAAGTTAGAGACCTGCTTTACCTTTCACTGACATCGGCGTCGTTATGTGTATTTTGATGTAAGACAGTAAGTTGTATTTTCATCAGGTTCTGACAATTAACCTGTATGTGTTCTGGGTAGAAGATGTTTAATAGAGAATAGTGTGAAAATGGACAATGTGAAATACAACAAGTGTAAAACTTTAGTTAGTAATTCCTGAAAATGAGTCATCAAATATAAGGGTTAAAAGAGGACCTTAGTGATATTCTCTGATCTCAGCCCAATGTAGAAATTGCCTGGGTAACACATGTTAAAGGTGATCGGTCACCTTTACTGGTTGTTTGAAATCCTTATTGGGGTTATATCTGTGTAAGGGTGGCTTCCAGTCATCGGGTCTAGATCTTCCTTTTGGTGAAATGCCATGTCCTTTTTTGATAAGACAAATACTGAAAGCTGTCCTGTCCCCTCAGAAGTCCTTTCTCTCATTACTGACTCTCTAGTTCTCAACACATAGAAGTCTTCTTGGTCTTCTAATGTATCAGTTTTTCAGTGTGTGTGTCATGGAACACTAACCCCCACAATACTCGGTGAAAAAAAAGCTTCTAAAGCTGTTAATACATTTGAAAAGCCTATCTGTTACACAATCCTCTAGGAGTTTCACAATACACATCAGAATATTAACATTTTAGGAAGGCTTTATGATAAAAAACAAACAAACCAACAAACAAACAAAAAACTCCTAATTTTGTTTTAGCTAGTCTTCCTCAAAATTCTTGGCTATGGAGTATCGGGGTAGATAGTACTTAATAATATCATATAGAATACTAGTTCAACAGGACACACTTTAATAAGCACTGATCTGTATGCTCTGTTATTTCTAAAAGTATAATTCCGAGGCAGGAAGACCTGTATTCCTTTCCCAGCTCTAACACTTTCTGTGGATGATTTGTGTTTTTTAATAAAGCTTTATTCCAGGCCAGCAGGTGGCTTGGAGATTAAGGTTTCTGGATCCTACATGTGAGATCAAGTCCTAGACCAGGCAGCTTGAAAAACATGGTAGGCATTTGTGTGCCTCTTCAAAATCCAGGGGAAGAGTATGGAGGAGAAGGCATTGTGACAGAGCATTCCCCCGGGGGGTATTTCTCACTTTCCCTCTATCTTTCACTCTGTCTCTCTCTGGTAAACATGCATACCCTATAGAAAACAAATGAACAGAAACTTTAATCTAATGGTTCTATTTATAAAATGGGGATGCTAATAGTATTTTCCCCAAAACAGAGCCTGGTATATATTTATATATACATATATATATATAGTGAATATTATAATACTCTTTAAAATATATTGAATAATGATGGAGTCTTAATTTTAAGTGATTAGATTTAAAAATAATACTCTAAATATTACTAATAACATTGCCATAGCTAAGAAATTATTTATTTTTGCCTTTTTAAAAATTTCCAGAGGGCATGTGTGCTCACTAGCAAGAGACAGAGAGAGAGAAAGAGACCAATGGAGTGCAGTCATGCTGCAATCCCTTCTCCTCCGTTTTTCCATCTTATCAGGATTGGGGCATGCATACATGCCCAGGGTGTTTTTCAAGCTGTGGGGCCAAGATCCAAACCATGTGGTCAGCCCTGTAAGTATGGTCCTCTTAACCACTACACTATAGGGTCAGTCCACCACAAATTATCTACTTAAATAAGTACTGTGAACACTTAAAGGAAGGATAATGTATCATATGATTTCTTTTTATCCTTAGTACTATTAATTTGCTTGGTATAAATTAATATTTTAAATCATTATTGCCTATGATTAGGATATTACTTCCATCAACTTATCCTAAAATATTTAAATTATGTTTATTTTTATTAAGTCACATTTATTTTCATGCATATTATGTTCATAGCTGGTTATTTAACATCCTAAGTATTTTTCACAGGCACCATTAGTAGACCAAGTCTCTATCTTCTCAAATACATTTACTGATTGAATCAAAATTCAGAATTGTACACTTATTAGAATAAAATATCTTAACTTTTTACTTAGGTCTATTGTTCTATGTGCTGAGAATATTTTTGAATATCATCCAGTGTCGCTCCCTTTGAGTTTTCTCCCATTTTTTTATTTTCTAAGGATATGTGTTGCATAGTTTATGACATGATGAAAATAAAGAACTATTATTGTTTTGTTTTGTTTTATTTTTGAATAAACCCATGTTGATTTTTATTTTTTAACAACTTATTTATTTTATTCTTTCATTATTATTATTATTATTATTTGCTATGGAGCATATGTACTTACCAGAGAGAGACAGAGAGAAAGAGAAAGTGAAAAAGTGAGAAAGCAAACCACTAGGTCTGGAACTCTAACTGTAGTTGGCCATGTGGGAGTTGACACTTTAACCACCATACCACCTGCTGGCCCCATGCTGATTTTTAATAATAGTCCATTTTGGAATTTTTATGAGTATTGATGCTTAGCTTATAAGACTTTATAGTTTGGGGAAATTTCATTTTTTTTTTAAATAATGAGATGTTTGTCTACCTAGAACTTGTGATGCCCTTCTAATTATATCTGATTTTAAAGTATTACTTTCATTATTTCTACATCTGCATCTTCTTTCAGTGTTCTTGGATATCATTTGACTAAGTCTTTACTTACCTTAACATGTGTTTATATCTGCTTCAAGAGCCAAAATTTAATCAATATTTTTTCTAAATCTTTTGAATTGATTAGTAAAATCTAAAGTACATGTACAGTTTTGCTTGTTATTCCTTTAAATTGCCTTTCTAAACTCTGGAATGGCATAGACTGTCCAATTTATTGAATAATATTTATAAAAAATCAACTCATTCAATTCAATTTAGTATTAATTCCATTCTACCGAGTTTATGTTTTTTAACAGCTACTATTAAGTACTGTTGAGATTTTATTTTTGCCAATTATCTTTTCAATCCTGGAAATATTGGCACTCACACACACGTACCTTACAATTTAAATTTATATACTGTTGATTAGGTCATAGAAATCTCTGACAAAACACCTTCCTTGTCTTTGACAAAAGCATTTATCCATCGACAGGAGTTCATTATTCTGTACTGTAAGAAAATTCAATCCTAGGGCCAGCAAGTGTTGTGGTGGTTAAGACGCTGGACTCCATGTGGCCAACTGCAGCTTGAGTCCTGGCCCAGATGGCTTGCTTTCTCACTTTCTCTCTCTCTGTCTGACTCTCTCTCTTGTGAGCGTGCATGCCTTATAAAAATTTTTACAATAATAATAATAAATAAAATAAATAATTATGTAAAACAACAACAACCAAAACAATGCAGTTCCATACCCTGTCATGGTCTATGTATGTGGGATTCACTTTATCCACTTCTCTTTCTTTTCTAAGGAAAGACGTTTAATGGACACAGTAAGTAAAAATAGTTATTAACTTCTAGAAAATACTGGGTTTCTATGGGGGGATCTCAAAATCACCATAAAAGATAGTAACGTATAACAATAAGGGCATGACTTTGAATTTATTATATGAGGAAATTGCTGTACCCCTTTGAGTCCCAATTCACAAACTTGAAAATAATAAAAGTAAATTAGAGAAAAAATATTTCAGAACAAGAAAAGGTATTTTAGATGATTTGTAAGGACTAATGCTTATCCTACACAAAGATCGCAGCTGATACTTAAAAATACATTGATATATGTGTATACATATATGCATCTGTATGTATTGCATCTACATGTTTATAATCGAAGTGATATGTTTCTATTACATTATATATATATATATATATACACACACATATGCGTATAAAACTTAACATATTTAACGTAACATATATATAAAGTAATAGGAGCACATACTTTAGTTTACATCATTGTATACAAATGGAACTAAAAGTAGTGGTTATAATAACAGCAGTTACCATTTGCTGATACCTCCATTTATGTAAAAAATAAATTAAAATTATACTGGATGTCTTTAGTGAAAAAAAAATACTTTTATTACCTGATCTTTGGTACATGCAATGAACTTGGTAGGTTTTGAAGTCTAATAATGAATGAGTGCTACTCAATTTAGCAACAATACTGATGAAGCTATCTGTGAACTTGATAGTAAAAACACAAGTTTTAGGTAAAAAATTTTCACTCTCCTTCAAAATACATTTGAAGAGATCTGGTGACAGGGAAGAGTGGGAGAGACGTCATATTAATTAACTTACAAAGATATCAGATATCAAGTCAAGACATATATTCATGTAAAAATGTTTACACCATATTATTGTTTATGATTCATATATGTAAAACATTTCAGATTTAAACAGAAGAAGATAAGTCACTTTTCTTTTCTTCCTTTTGTTTTAGGTTTTTGCCATAAGGTGTGTGCACTCACTGGAGAGCAACAGAGAGAAGTAAACAGAGAAATCACTCCCCCCTACCCCCCAGCAGGATAGCCATTCTGCAATCCCTTCTCATTCTCCTTTAGGGATTTTGGGCACACACACACACACACACACACACACACACACACACGACCCGAGTGATTCTCAAGCCACTGGTCCTGGACTCAAACCATGACTAGCCATGTGGGAATCTAGAGCCTTAATCACCATGCCACCAAATGGCCTAACAGTCTGTTTTCTTGAAAGAATATCA